TTTCGAGACCATCACTAGAACTTCGTTTAATCACCCTAAGGATGCCCAGGCACTGGCATAGTAAACACGCCAAGATTAGAGGATTCCTTTGATGAGTCATGAGCAAATCCTATCTTTTATGGTTAGTAGAAAGTAGGGTTGAGTAGATTTCACCTAGAACGCTTGAAGCGTTTTTTGAAGGTTCCTCTAGCAAGAAACTTGAGAATTTCTGTTCCTGCTTTGAGAAATACGTGTTACGATCCACTTGTGGGTGCGAATGTGTTGCAGTAGACAAATTTTAAGGAAGAGACATCTGGATGGACGATAGTAGAGAAGAAGACAGAAGAGAGCAGCATCGTTTCCTATAGGAAAGGTCAAAGAGTCTGAGAGTTGTGGAATCTTTTGGTCGACTGATTCCCGGTGCAGCACGCTTCTGTAAACATTGATTTATAGTTTCGTTTTCGACAAAGATGGGAGTACTGGTCCGCTTTTCCGTCTCATCATGAAAGGTCGCAGGACGAACTGACTTCTTTCATCTCTAACCAAAAACTTTTGAACATCATGATTCTGCTAGTTATGGGCCGTGTGAGAAACGGCTACGGAACCTATGCACGCCACACATCTGTTATCCTTCTATCGGTCCTGAAACCGGTTCACGTGAAACTCATTCGGCAATGTACGTCAGTTATTGACGCTGTCTCCATCACTATTCTGTCACCTCTGCAGTTAAAACCGATATTCCACTGTGTTGATTTGTTTTCAAAAACTACTTCGCGTTACTGTTTACATAAACAACTTGACTAGCTATTACTAAGCCAGAATGTTTCATTAAACATTATTTTCGTAGTATTGCACCTGAATAAACCTGGTTTTTGCCGACTATGGTTCAGAACTTGGCGGCCTCGCTCTCAAAGCTTTCTGATTACGAAACGAGTTGCTCTCCAAGTCTCATAAATAATTTGTTTACGGTACAGTTTGAGTGCGAATCGAGATGTGTCATTAGGTCAAATCCATGCACGATGCCGTTCACCGCGCATGACATTTCCGCGCAGCTCTTCTCGATGGGGGTACAGTGTGTCGCACCTGTCCCAACACCCAAAAAGAAAGCGTATTCCAAAAAAGTTTTGTGAAAAATGCGGAGCAACTTGATATCTTGTATGCCTCCTCACTTAGTGTCGACGTTTCCTTCCGAAGCCATTATCAATTCCATATAGGAATTCATTAGTGTTCTTTACTCAGTGTGAGTACGTCGACGCTCAAGTGAACGTTTATTTGCTGATGCACTCCCGATTGTTTGGATCAGTTTCGGCACTGTTTCTGTTTTTAGAGGGAAAAGTATCTTTGCATTGATTGATTCCATATTTTCTTGTTGCTGTCAATTCCTGTTCGACCGGCTCTGGCTGTGCGGTACGTCGCCATCCCAGTAGGGCTGTCTGAAGGGGTCCTTTTGAACAGTTCGATAATTGTTTTTTTTTCTTACCGAATCGTGCAGCCTAACAACGAGATAAGTATGTAAA